CGCTCATCATCCATCGCCTCTTGCGTGCATGCTCATATCAACAAACTGCAGCCCGTCGCCGGATATCAACGGAGCTCTTCAACATCGCCACACCTCACGAGAATAGCTCATCTCCATACCTCATCTCCTCCATGGCTCATCTCCTCCATAGGTCATCTCCTCCATAGCTCATCTCCTCCATAGCTCATCTCCATAGCTCATCTCCATAGTGCTCATCACCGTAACTCATCATCGTTCCTGATCAGTCTTTCATCGCCGTAGCTCATCTCCACAGCTCATCTCCATAGCTCATCTCCATCGCTCATCTCCATAGCTCATGACAGTGCTCATCACCGTAAATCATCATCTTTCCTGATCAGTCTTTCATCGCCGTAGGTCATCACCGCAATACCTTATCACCGGACCTTCATTACCACCTTAGCTAATTACCCGTGCCTGCCACCATAGCTCATCGCTGGAGCGCATCACATTCAAACTCTCTTATCATCGTATCACAGAGCTCCCTCCCAAATCTCCTCGCCGTAGCAGATCATCATAGCTTTTCGCCTTGAGCATTGGCAGAGCCCATCAATCCGCTTTGCAGAAATACTACAACCACCAGTGGACTTTTCATACCTTACTCAGTCTGAAAGAAGTACACCACCCTCTCTGAGCCTATTACAGGCTTGCCCCGAATAGAACGTGCCGTCTTTACAACTGTATTCGGGTAACCTGTCAGTCTAGATACAGAGATAATGACGGCACGTTCTATTCGAGGAGGGTAGTGAGCGAATCAGAGAGAGTCATCACCATTCCTAAGTGCATGACGTCATCACATCAGTACAGGTAATGTAACACGTCATCATCATCAAAATCGCCCTATTTTTTTTTATTTTTTTTCTTTCTTTCTTTTTTTTGCCGTGCTGTGCTATCACAGTCTTGCCCCGAGTAGAACGTACGGTCACTATGCCTGCACCTAGCCCGGAAATTGCCCTAAATAAAATACAGCTGTAATGACAACGTTCTTTTTTCTTTTTTCTTCTTGGATAACAATGCTCCACTCTATTCGTAGGGAGCAAACGGCAGAGGTGGGGTATGTGGAATGACGGTACTGAGTGAAGGGTTGAAGGGTCTCGCCGCAGGGCACACGAAACGAGAACTAAAAACGAGTGCATCTGCCCACAAGGGGTGGCAAAATGCACTCGTTACTATTTATAGAAAACCGACGAACCTGGCCATTTTCTGCAGGAAGATGCACTCGTTTCCTTTTTTCGCTTCCTCTCCCGTGCGGCGACGCCCGAAGTGTGGTGGTCCCCCCCTGAGGAAGACCGCGTGGCGAAGGGGGCAAAACCGGTCGGGGTACCAGCCGGCCGGCATTTGCAATCATGTACCATGGCGTACTCGTGATAACTTCGGCTATGAGTGATTGATTGATCTCTCAATTAATTGGATGTATGCTGACGTGGCATACCAACTCAAACGTAAGTAGCACGTGCTTCCCTTATGGACAGAAAAAAGAACGGTGACAGGTAGGCCTGCGTCGCAGGTCTACCTTCTTTCCCCGAACATAACGCATACGCTTCGTATTCGAGTTGTCGGAAAAAAAAGGCCCCTTTTTTTTAAGTTAGTACCTTTTTTTCCAAATAGAAGGGCACTTTGAATACAAGGCACATGCCTTGCACATGCTTGTGTTCGAATAAAAAGAATATGCTTTGTATTCGAATTTCGAAACGTATTCAAATTAAATCCTCTTTTCTATTTTTTTTCCTTTCTTTTGTGGGGAAATTTGTCAGGTGCCCCTGTATTTTCCGTTATTTTGCGTCACGCACCCTGTCCCGCCCCTCTGAATACAAGTCAAAATTTTCCATAAAACCCCGGTGTCGTTTGGGCCTCAAATGTTTTCGTAATGCCCCTACCGGTACCCACACCAAATTTGCAGCATGCCCCTACTGGATAGCAGTTGAAAAAAATTCTGATATGCCCCTATCGGTACCCCATCAATCTTTTGAACAGGTAAGTCTCGAACCTCGCGGCTGACCTCATGCTCCTACTGCTAGAACATGGAAATATACACTGCCACACTTCTTCTTTTTCCTTACTTTTTTTTTTTTTTTTTCTTGGATATGTGTGTGTGTGTACGTGTGTGTGTGTGTGTGTGTGAGAGAGAGAGAGAGAGAGAGAACACGTAAGTCTCCAACCTTGGGCCTGACCTCATGCTACTTCCATGGATATCATGAGCAAAATCAAATGGAAATATACACTGACCCTCTCTCTCTCTCTCTCTCTCTCTCTCTCTCTCTCTCTCTCTCTCTCTCTCTCTCTCTCTCTCTCTCTCTCTCTCTCTCTCTCTCTCTCTCTCTCTCTCTCTCTCACACACACACACACACACACACACACACACACACACACAAAACAAGTGTGGCAGTGTACATTTCCATGTTCTAGCTGTAGATTCATTCGATTTTGCTCATCCTATAGACATACACACAAACAAACTCGCAGGGAAGAGAATGACATGAACACAAAGCAGAGGAACGGCGACGAGTGAGAAAGAAGAGGGCGGACGACACTGACTGTGACATGCTCGAGGGCAAAACTCCAAGCCACGGGACAGGAGGTTGGCCTTTGCGAGCTTCTTCGCGGTGCAAGCAGCTGGAGACGAGTGTCCACTGCACTCCAGCAGCTTCTCTGCGGCGGCGCATCAACAACAACAGGGTTCGAAATCGAGTTCAAATTTCAAGCGCCTCACTGTTGCAGGGGCAGTACAGGAAGCTGGTTGCCCATCATGAGGGCATATGACGCAGAGCCCAATGGAATGGGACCGCCAGTTGAGGGACGGCCTCCTGGAAAGTTGCGCCCAGTGCCGCCCACTACGGACAGGGGCCTGCCGAAGAGATTTTTAGGCCCAGGGGCGCGACAAGGTAAATAGGCCGTCGGAGGGGTGTGACACAAAATAATGGAAAATACATGGGCGCAAGCCAAAATTCCCTTCTTTTTTAGGCCAGCCCAAATGCTCTCTCTCTCTCTCTCTCTCTGTCTCTCTCTCTCTCTCTCTCTCTCTCTCTCTCTCTCTCTCTGTGTGTGTGTGTGTGTGTGTGTGTGTGTGTGTGTGTGTGTGTGCGTGACCTAGGACCACACTGCACAGTGACTGCTCTCTACATGTGCAGAAAGAGACTGAAAGAATCATGTGCAAAACGAGAGTGCATCTTTAGCTAGAACATGGAAAGATACACCGCCATGATTTTTGTCTTTTTTGCATGTCAAAAATAGTGGAGAGAGCCTCCTGCGTCCGCTGTCTGACAAATGGGGGCCAAGAAACTGACAGCCGGGGCAGCAGGATGCGCCTGACTATGCCAGGGCGTTGTATTTTTCCATGTTCTAGCGGGAGGTTCATTTTCATTTTGCACATTTGGTGTGGAGTGGAGGGAGTCCTCATATGGCAAATGGGGGATGAATAGTCCGCTAGAACATGGAAAGATAAACCACATCATTTTTTGTCTGTGTAGTGCCCTCGGCCACGGACCAGAACTGAGTCTACTCAGCCTGGACGGGCCCCCCTGCTGTCCGGAAAGTTGATGCACTGCCCTCAAATACGAATCATATGCTGATTAAATGAATAAAACGCAACATATGCATTGTATTTGTTATGTTTGAAGGAAGAAGGTAGTTCCGAAAAGGCAAAGAGTGTGATCCCACCTCTTCTCTCTCTCCAAAGAACTAAAAAGAACTGCTTTTACTGGAGCCGGGCCGCATGCTCCGTGAAAAAAAAATTGGATCTCACATCACCGAAGAGGCAGGGACTTTGGGCATTGCCACACCACTCTTTAAATGTGGAAAGGACAACTTTTGCGGGTGCATCTGACCATGTTCTAACGGGAAGTTCATTCTCATTTTGCACATTTCGAGAGTGGTGTGGCGAGGCCCTTTCACGAACCACGGACGAATGGTTGACATGCAAAAAAAGCCAAAGAACAAAAAAAAGTGTCGTTAAGGGGCAGGGTACCGGCTACCGCCCCTTGAATTGCGCTAGCAGTGCCACGCCATTTTGGAAAGAACTACCGCCCTTTGAATAGCGCTTCCAGTGCCACGTATGACGGCATTTCCACATCCGTGACAAAGGGCGTTGCCGCATGGCACACGGAACGAAAAACGAAACGAATGTATCTTCCCCCAGAAAATGGCCAGGTTCATCGGTTTGCTATAAATAGTAACGAGTGTATTTTGCAGCCTTTGGTGGGCAGATGCACTCGTTTCGTTTTTGTTTCATGTGCCGTGCGGCGAGACCCAAAGCAGGGCTGCCTCCGACTTCCGCGGAAACAAGTGGGATCCCAAGTTTTCCCTAAAAGTGGGCGTCATAAAAGAAGTGGGATGGGACGAGTCCGGGGGGACTGCAAGCGTTCCGGTAGTGCTCGCGTGCGCTAAGTTAGCGCTATTTCGTACGCGGGATAGCGCTGTCTTTTCGCGCCCGGGACGGCCGGCGCTTGGCAGGCAAGAGTATAGTCAGGGTCCATGACATCCATGACACGTGTTCACGAATGGCCGATACCTCGTGCAGTAGTCGCCATAGCTGAGCTATGCCGACAAGTGGTGATGTTCGAACCAATCCTTGAGTGGATTGGGAGCGTCGGGCGCTCGGTAACATGACCCCTGGATGATCTCCCTTGATGTCCGTTCTTTCTTACTAAATTCTCAAAGACCAGACACGAGGAGCGTTATGACGAGTTAACTTATTTGGCTTTTTGCCCAAGTACTCAGACGAATGCTCGTGCCTGCGAACGCAGGCCCGAGTTACGATACTGGAGAAGGTGTGTACAGATGCTCCGTCGGTTCTCTGCATGGAGGTAATTTCCCTAGTCTAGTGCGCTATCTCATGGCAGTTTAATTTGAGGAATCGAGTCTGATTGAGTCCAATTAATTCGAGGCTGGACTTGTGTGTATTTTTGACAAGATCTGACTGACAAGAACACGGTGGGACTGCCTGATATCGTAGATTGATTCTATAGTACAATATAACTATACGAACAGTACGAAATGGATTTGGAAATGGACATAGGGGGAACAACTCAGCCGTCACATATGGATAGGGTTCGGTTGAAACAGATGATCCAGGACTGTTACTTGGGCGGAATCCTTCCTAAAGGACTGATTAGCGATCATGCGGATCAGATAGAACGGGGAGATGATTATGTGAAAGTCAACATTTCTCCAGAAGCCTACGAGACTCAATTGGAGTGGCTGAAGGAACACAGTGTCGCTATTTTTTTCGGACAGGAATCGGATTCGTTTGCGGTAGGCCTTAAGAAGAAAATCATTAGGGTCTACGAGAACACCTGGATAGGCAGTCCGATGCTAGGTCCAAAACCGAGACGCGGCCTGTTCAAAAACGAAGGCCGCAATCTGATCTCGTATATAACGAGCACGAAAGAAGTTGCTAACTATTTGCTGTCGAAAAGGGAAGACGAAATCGAGTTGGACGGTGTTATGCACAAACTGTCGTTCAAACCATGGATGATCGAATTGTTAGAACTACAATACTGGAGAGAAACCAATAAATATCCCTTTTTCTGGATAAGATGCCTCCAACTTCCAATCGCGGTTATGCCGATGATAGAAGAGGCGGTGGAAAAGGCGTTCGGGAGGGTAATCAAGACCTACCCGTTCACCAAAAGACCGAATGAACCAGAATTGCACAATGTGCGTTTTGATTTGGAGCCCAGCGCAATGCACAGATATACCCCATACTTGATCATCGGGATTCCCGATGGCAAAGACACACAGGTAACAGTGGAAGTGGCGTGCGCAACAACTGATTGGTGCCCTATATGCAAGCAATACTTTCACTCAGAGGATGACCCAGATTGTCCGGGAAGGAAAAGAGTTCAGAGATCGAATATCGAGGAGAAGGAGAAAGATTTCCCAGACGACTATGAGAAGTGGCTAGAGGAAAAGGAAAAAGAGAAAGAGAGGGAGAGGGAGATTGAAGAGGAAAGGGAAAGAGAGAGACAACAAGAGGAAGCGAATGAAAGAGAGAGGGAGATGGAGAAACAACGAGAAGAGGAAAAAAGACGGAAAAAGGAAAGACGGTTGGAGGATGAGAGGGAGAGACAGAGAATGGAGGAAATGGAAATGGAAAGGAAGAGGGCTCGAGAAAGAGAGAAGGAAAGAGAGAGGCAGAAGGAGGTAGAAAGATTGGGGGAAAGAGAGATGGAATTGGAGAAAGAAAGGGAGAGGGAGAGAGATATCGAGCTGCAAAGGGAAAGAGACTATAGGAAAGAATGGAGCAGAGATGATGAACGAAGGGATGAAAGTGAGAGAAGGTTGGGCTCCGATGTGGAGGAATCACCTTACTTGGAAAAGGGGGGTGGGATTGGAAAGAGAGGTGGAAGGGAGAGGGAGAGATCTCCTACCCCCCGGACAATACGCGAGCACAGCTCGACCCTATCTCAACCATTGTCTCATGCAGGGCAAGATCTCAGTATCGAGAAAAGAGGGAGGGAACTCTCACCCCACTCGGTCGGAGTCCCTTGTTACGGGAGCATACCGGTAGATATGAATGGCGACCCATCGGAGGACGAGGAAGGGGAAGCGAGAATGCCTCTATCTGAGGAAGTTGGTCTCCTCACAGATGGCTACTCGCTGGAGACTGATTTGGAAGAGCAGATGATGGACCCATTGATGTCAGAACTGGTAGTTTCCTCACAGTCCCGACTGGTGGAGGAAAAATTGAATGCAGGTCCTGAAACCTCTATGAGGAAATTGTGTAAGGGGGCACTCAGACCGGCACCGTACTCCCCAGACACACAAGGGAAAAAAAACTCAAGGAGTAAAGGAAAGGTGGGCGAGTTGCGCCAGCTCCTGGCAAAAGCTCGCCCAATGACTACAGTTTCTAGGAGTGAAAAAGGAAAGATTGACAGCTTCCTGGTTCCCCTTTTCTACCAACCATCGAGTTAGGGTCCGCTCTTGCTGACAAAACAAGCTCCTAACTCTTCAATCGAGATACCAATCTACAAGGTAGAAGGATCACCGCTGACCTCTTAGTTTATTGCTGCAGCCAAACACTTCATTAACAACGCTGGCCCGGTGGGTTATATACCTGAACCACGCATGGGGATGCACACTGCGTCTCCAAGGGGAGGGGCTAGGGTCAACCTGTTTTTCTCCTTCCTAAATCTGCACTTTGAGAAAGACACACAGGAAAGCCTGAAATTAATGAGCCCACATTGGATTCCTATAGAGGCCTTCATCACTCCGGGTAGTGATGTTCCAAAGTAAGTTCAGCTTTCTGAGAAGTTGACAGGACAGGAAATTGCGGATTGGGTACAGCATACGGATCTAAAAGGAGTATTGTTGTCAACCAACTTTTCAGAAGTGCTGCAATATCCATGGCACCTGGACAGGCAAGACGAGGATGACTTTGAAATCGGTAAGACGATAGCAAATATGTAGCAATGCCATATCCAAAAACTGGGCGGACCAAGGGCACAGCCCTATGGTCCTACCAAGTAAGATTCGTATAGCCTCTTGGAACTTACAAGGGTTGGGAGACACGACGCATAAACACAAGCGCAGTCGTATGGCGTCTTGGTGCCATTCAGAAGCGGTACACGTGACCTGCATTCAGGAAACAAAGTTGAATGCTGGGAAAATAACTGAAGCAAGGAATTGGTGGAGGGGCCCACAGTATTGGGCACCGGCTGATGGCACAAAAGGTGGCACGGCCATATTGTTCCACAAGGATCTGGACATTGATATTATAGACTCTTTTAGCGACGCGAAGGGTCGGTTCGTATGGGTGAAATTTGTACTCGGGGACGAAGATTGGGCCGTAATGTCCATTTACGCTCCTGTTGACTATAAGGAGAGAACATATTTTTTTGCAGATTTACCAACATTTATCCCAGACACAGAACATCTGCTGTTAGCAGCTGACTGGAACACGGTTCTGACCCCGGGGCTAGATACCCCGAAACTAGACCCCTTGACAGCAGACTCTAAATTACTGTGGGAATTTATGGGATCACAAAATCTTACTGATGTGTATCGTATTATGAACTCGGAGTCTAACGGATACACGTGGTTTGGCTCTTCATCGGCAGGAAGGAGGCTAGACTTCCTCCTTGCCAGGGGGGTGATATGGGACCGCTGTATCTGGTCAGACGTTAAGATAGAGTCACTTTCATACCACTACCCGGTAATGATGGATGTGCTCTCAGGGGAACACGTGAAACGGGTACGAGGCCCGTTTCGTCTTAATACATGGCAGACTGGCAGAAGGCGAAAACCTTCTTTGAAAAAGAAGAAGACTGGGCAGATATGGGGTTGCGAATTATATCAGAAATGCTCAATGTGTTTTCGCAAATCAAGGCCGGCGACATGAACAGAAAAGAAAAACAATTGAAGACAGAGATAACCTATGCGGAGGAACAGTTGAAAGGTGACACTTATGCATTCCATTTCTGGACTGATAAACGCAAGGAGTTGTTACTGGAGCTAGAAGCAGTGGAATTGCAACGACAGTCACAGTGGTTAGAATGGCTCAGTCTCAGAGGGATAACAGGATATGACAGGATGACGAAAATTACGTTTAGGTCCTTGATCTTACAACAATCGAGACCGATTTTAAGACAGCTAAAACACCCCACTTTAACGAACCTTCAATTAGCGGAGTCGACACAACAAATGTGTGAGTATGCGCGCGAATACTTCGCAGACATACTTACCTCCAGATATCCAAGTGCAAATTTTGACACAGATCTGACACTAAGCTCAAACTTCTGGGACATGACGAATATCGTGATTTCTCGACAGGGGAGACTCGATCTGGATAGGCCATTCACAGTTGAAGAATTGGGCGAAGCAACTAAAGATTTAAAGAAGGGTAAGTGTGCGGGATCAGATGGGATCCCGGTCGAGTTCTACTTAGAAACATGGGACTCAATGTGAAACTTTCTCAATGACATGTGTAACAGGTAATTATTAGGAGGGGCCTTACCGAGAGGACTCACGCAAGGAATCATAACACTCATGTACAAAAAAGGGGATAAAAGTGAAGTTAAAAATTATCGCCCGATTTCACTATTGAATGTAGCCTATAAAATACTGGCGAAAGTTTTGGCTCGACGTTTGGCTAAGTACCTACCAGAGATTATAGGCCCAGATCAGGGGGCCTTTGTGAAGGGCCGTTCAATACATGAGAATATTTTGACTACTGTCCAAGCTTTAGAAGTCATAGCAGCAGAAAACAGGAACATGACCACACTCCTTCTAGACAGGGATAAAGCATAATATAAGGTAGGGTGGGCCTTCGTAGCCACCACTTTAAAGAAGATGAATTTTGGAACGAACTTTCTCAAAATCGTCAAGGCCATATATTCACAGGGGACTGCAACAGTCAATGCGAATGACTGTCTCTTGGAAACGATTCACCTAACACGTTCTCTACGTCAGGGGTGTCCGCTGGCTCCATTACTCTTTGTAATCCAGTTGGAAGTTCTTCTAGATAATATTAGGTATAATGATAACATTATCGGCCTCCAGATCTCTCCCTCCCTCCATTGGAAAGGGAATGACTTAGCAGACGACTTGACGGTAATCTGTAGTAGCAATACACCGAACTTATTAACAGAACTAAGATTCGTATTGGAAAATTATTGTTCTTTATCTGAAGCCTCAATTAATTGGACTAAGTCAACCTTTCTCCTCCTGGAACCTTGGGAGCCGACACTGGACTGAGCAATGAGCAGGGTGGGGGAAACCACTTCTGAGAGACTACTGGGAGTTCAGGTTTCACTGGGGAATGCTTCAAGTAAACAAGATTCAATATTGGAGATAAGAGTAAGATCAAAAATA